AAATATTGTATTTGATGAAACTGTATTTTTCCAATAAAATAACGGGTGGTCGCGATCCTTAGTCTGTTGGTCCTCGAGGCTGAATAATCGTTATTGTGGATTTAGGAGAAGTCCCGTCTCGCGTACTTTATCTTTTTCTCGAGGTTTTGTATTTTAATCATTGATTTTTATTTCACGTATTTAATGATACAGTGTCTTTATTTGTTGCAACTGATCAGAAAAATTGTATTTTTATCTTTGACCCGGAAGTAAATAATTTCTGATCAACATTTTGGCCTACTGGCTCCAGAGTTAAATGAAAAAGTTAACGCCATGGTGTCTAACTTTACTGCTGCTTCTTATGCATTTTGCAGATTTTTATGCACAGTGGTCTTTCTTTGCGTAATAAGTTTTACTTCTATATTTCGATTTGCCACCTCAGATTTTTTTCCTGTTATTTTGGAAATCAAAATCTCAAATGTAGAACATATTCTCAGAGAGCTCCAATAAACCTCGACTGCGAAAACGTATTATGAATTTGATAAACATTTGGGTTATTCTTCAAACTGCAGCAAAACGACGATTGTCTAGAATATAAACAAAGTTTTGTTAAAATGAACTATAGGATGTTCACCTAACATAAATCAGAATAATAACGATTTGGTTACTTTTCAAAAAGTTGTTTCATCAAAGTCAAGATTTGCTAGTTGTTCAAATACAAGTGGCGACTCAAATACTTATGTATAGACGACTCAATTATTAATTTAAAATGTGGTAGATTATTTATTACTATTCTGCTATCATCTGGATAGCAATGAATAATTCAATTTGAATCGCACTTCAATAACAATCTCAGAAAGACATGAGCTTAAATGTGGCACAAACAGCGCTTGTGTTCGTGTCAGAGTAGAAATTGATAGGCTTATTGGCAGGGTATCAGAGCAGATCGGAAACTTGATGGGTCTGCATTTACACACACACACACACACACACACACACACACACACACACACACACACACACACACAAAGCGCCCGCGCAAGCACGCATACAGATCCCATCTCACCCAGTGGCAGCAGCGCGCTCTCTCACATCACCCGCGTGTCGCGCTGTGCAGGAGAGGCTGTGCACCGCGCTGCTGGGAACGAGGAGGTCTCTAATCTCGGGATTTCTATTTAAACACGGTAAGAGCTGCTATTGATGCTTTTTACGCAAAATGTGCGCAAAAACCGACAAATTCTCCCGCGTAAAAGGGTGATTTTACGCACACGATTTCCCTACATATTCCAATTTGATTAAGTATTAATTTAACATTTCTAATGCGATATTTGGTTCAATGTTCAAATTAAATTCAGTAATATAAACTACGATAGTGTGTGCAGCAGGTTATTTTGGATCATGTGCGTCTGGCATGCAGGTCGACACTGAGCTGCAGAAACATATTCCACATTCCGTGTTAATTAATAATGGGAAGATGGTTCGTAGGTTAAGGCTTACATCTGTACAAATCACTGTAAATTAGAATGTGCCAGGCAGGGTGAAGGAACATGCAGCGAGCAGAGAGGGAGGGGGGGGGGGGGCATAGGAATCGGTAGAAATATGGATAACGGAGGGATCCGGCATGTTGACCCACTGGTGACCCCGTCAACTTTCAACTCTGGATGCCTCCGGGATCTCCAGTAATCCAGTCAAAGTGATGCGCCCTCGCATCAACCCGCCACTGCTGCTGTTATAGGCCTCCTCTGCCTGCATCTGTAATCTACTGTGAGGTAATATGCGTGTCCGTCACGTCAGATTAGGCCTGTGGGGTTTTGTTATTTTAGGAAATTCATACAAACCAAGTCCACTCATTCTGGTGTATTTTTGTTGTAATGTAAGGCACTGGCATAAATAAACAGACTGATCATGATGATGATGATAATGAGGTGCCCTCTCCACCAGTGAAAACAAACCCTGTCATGTCAACCATCTTTGGGTGATGTGGGATTGGAGATGAATAACCATGGTTATTGCTCAAACTCCGTTTAAAAAACAACAACAAAACCACCATTTCCTCTCTCTGCCGTCTTCCTTTCAAATCATTATTATTGTGAGAGTAAATTATTGTAACCTCTTACAATTTCTCTGAGCAGCCACAGTTGAATGGATTATCGTTTTTTTCAAGATATTTACAGATGTGTAATTACAAAAAGGAGAGTGGTACAAAATCAGTCAGAGGTCATGTTGTGGTGTGACATGACATCCATGTTGTATATGATTGATGCCCCAGTGACAAACAGTTAATGTGAGAATTGTTTTTGAAAAATAAATAACCATCGACCCGAGTGCGCGTGCGTATGGCTCAGTACGTGGGTTTTGTTTGTGTTTGTGTGCGTGCGTGCACGTGGAGGCGTTTGCGTGTGTGATTGGCCAGTGTCGCAGCCATGATTTGGGCTGCAGATACCAACGCGCTGTGCAGACCTATGGGAGCGCGGAGCAGGCAGAAGGGGGAGGGCAGAGTGCGCGAGGCGGACTTGACTCCATTTGTAGTGGAGGATGTGATGAGGGGGGGTTCAGATCAGGGTTGCCTCCGCCACCGAGAGGGCAACGGGGAGGAGAGGAGAAAGAAACGAGGGGGATCTAGAGCCGCGTTGAACGGATCTCGGTCTTCACTGTAGCCGGAGGTGACGGGAGCAGTGGCGAGGACGAGCCGCGCGTCTGGCTGGGCAGCAGCGGGGAGACGCACGGAGGAACAACCCGTTGGGATTTCCGAGCTGCACGGGGGAACATGCTGTGTTTTTGAGAAGCTACTCACGGCGACATTTGGAGAGTTGGATTAAAAAAAAGAAAAGTAATTGAAGGGAAACCAGAGCGAGGCTGCAGGAGCGCGCAGGAGCAGGATGAGCGTGTTGTCTGCAGGGAGAGCAGAGCAGCGTGTCTGAGGTAAAGGGCCTCACAGAGATACCATCCAAAACACACGCACACACGCGCCTCAGAAAAACTGTGGTCCGCTTATTTAATGTCAGTGATGTGCACTTTTAAGAGCTGCTTCCATTTTGAACAGCATGTGGACTGTAGCTGCAACTGTGGAGTTTAGGTTTTCACATATTTGAAATGGAAATGATCAATAGTAGCGTAGTTTAAATAAACTGTAGATGCAATACATTCACATCTGGACATCTCGATATCAAAATAAATAGACATGATCAATAACAAGCTGCATCCTTCAGCCTTCTTCGAAAACAATGTTAAAGTGCAAGTTCGTGCACATTTAATCTCCTTTTAAGTGGAAGCCTCTAATCTAAGGATATTGGATTAGTCCTTGTCAGCCATTGTAATGTAATATTAGTAATTATCCTGGGGCCATTTTGCAAAGAGAAGATTACAGGTTGTTTAAGCTGTGTTTTCTTTTTTCGCCATAATATAAATGTGTGCAGGACAGCTGCCTCTTTGTGTGTGTGTGTGTGTGTGTGTGTGTGTGTGTGTGTGTGTGTCCTGTAACAAAAACCGTCTCTTACCCAAATATCTTATTATTAGAATGTATTAATTTATTATTGTTTATTAGACTTTATAGTTCATAGAAAATCAGTGATTGGTCTATATTTGATTACAAAATGATGATTGATATTTA